GAGTAGTTCTTCAGGAGTGAGTGCAGTTCCTTCCTCTCAGCTTTAGTAACCTGTTTTAGTTGAGCGCAGAGAGCGTTTAGATTGGTCCCGGGAATGTCAAGGGCGGCGCAATGAGATCTGCATATGTCACCTATATCTTTCTTTGGAACCTTCTTTCTGGACCTTCGACGAGTTGTAAACATGCTTGTATCGAAGTCCATAGTTGCTCGGGACTGGCGTTCAAAGTCGGCTCTTAATAGCACGTTCCATGCAAGTTCCGAACACAGCTGAGCGTGGTACAGTGGCCGGCGGAGCGATATAAACCTTGCTACAAAGCATGGGAAAGGCTTGTAGGTTTAGTAGAAAATAGGCTGCTTTCGGAGTTTGCAAGGAAAGTGCATGTGTCCTTCCATTTCCTCCCGCACTCGCATAACAGTAGGAAGGCGAGACAAAGAAAATTCGGTCTTACTTTGTGTTGAGAGGCCACATGGAAGCGCACGCCCTTGTCTGTCTAGAGTTGGTTGTCTATTGGAAGTCCACGGACGAAAACAGGTGTTGAACTTGTCGAAAATTGCAGCTTCTAGCGCTTGGCGACTGCCTCGTTAATAAGGCGACTCAATCTGCATGTTCACATGTGTTACAGTTATCCCGCCAAGGCAGGTGAATGCAGGCTCTTTTTGAACTGAACCGCTATCCATGAAGCAACCCGGAGGCATAGTAACCCTTGAAGGCCTGTTTGGCTAGTAGCTGGAGATCTCTCGTGGAATTCTCGTCGCTCTCGCCAGGTTTCTCAAACTGCTGGAAAAAGTCTGAAGCCAAAAACTACTCCTTCTGTAGGGGCGTCAGTGTGGCGAGGACATCGGAGCACTCTTCTACATCCAAGGAAAGCGTGATAGCCGCGAGCATCGCTTCGCGACGCAGGTCATAGGGTAAGGCGCGAAGTAGCAATATAACTTGTCGTGCAGGATCATAAAGCCCCAGATCCGCCTTTGTGAATACGAGTCAGTCGTCAAAATCCATGCCTTCTTTAAAGAAGGGGGAGGAGATGTCAACCGGCGATACCACCATTGTAGAGCCTTCCTAGTTGCCCTCAGATCTCCGAATCTCGGAATCAAGGAGAGGATTAGTTGTGGAAGTCTTATTCGGCATCTTGTTTAGAAGGAGAGAGAATGGGGGAGGACAGATGAGACGGAAAGGCGATGCCACCCTAGGAAGGGACCTTCCCACTATTAGACGGGTTCGCGTTCGACTTGGCTTCCTGCCTCCTCCTCCACCATTACATACTGCAATTAATTGTTTCGGTTGCGTACCATTTATTACCGGACTTGTGAAGCATTTTCATATGATGCAGACCTTTTTTTCAGAGGAATAATTAATCTGAGGGGAATGAGATCTGCGTGGTGTCTGCCATCAGCTTGTCCAGTCAAACTATAACGCCCTTACACACAATACTCTACCCGTCTCACTCTGTTAACCACTTCTATTGGTCACTGCCATAAAAATGTGATTTAACAATTTTGGTTGCTGTTTGACGATGCCAGAAAGTCCGCCTCAGGCAGTGATTGACACGAAGCGACCACAAAATAAGCATTCTGCTGCGTACACATGCGGCAGAAAGTTAAAAAGGACAGCACTTCCCTCTACCCTCATAGCACGATATTTCCTCCACAACAATAATTATTTCAACATTCACATAAAAGTTTTCCTCCCCTCCCCCCAACAAACAAGTACAGTGGTTCCTATAACTCTCACTCAGCATGAATTTAGATACTATGATAGTTTATATGGCCACCACCTCTGATCCTAGAGCCTTTTGAGAATGATATTTTGGGCACGACATGCAGGGGGCTCTACATCACGCTCAGATGGACGTCTGAGCCAACCGATGCGAGAGGGAGTCTATCTGTGACGGCTGCTGGCAGACAAGTGGCTTTTTCCCATCCACGTCAGTGACACAGCAGTGTCGGGCAATAAAGCAAACTTGGAAAACGCTTCCTATTTGTCCACTTGTGTGTACAAAGGGCAGTTATGGTGTTTGCTTTGCGCTTGTACGCATGAGCTGGCCCTCTCCATGTTCTCTTCGAATTCATCTATCCAGCCCCATTGACCGCCTTCTTCTGCTTGGTGATGGGACGTTTTGGTGGTGGAGGTCTTAGGCCACTGCATATGCCTTAAGGAATGTGCATTGGCAAAGTAATGCAATCCTTTGTTTGGGGATGTAATTTGACATCTCATGCTGCAGTCATAAGAAGGCAAAACTTCTCTGACCAAGATAATTGTGTTTGCGAGCAAATGCACGACTTGCAGAATGGCTCGGTTTCGCTGCATTGTTATGGCATGCAATTGACAAGGGGAAAATACAAATGTGAAATGGTGGGCTCTCTCTTTACAATGGTCGGCTAGTTCTACGGTACATCCCAATTACCTGTCCATTTTCCATCACCGTCAGGTAAAACCGTTGAGCAGCTTTTAAAAGGATGCAGTTGACATTCAATTCGAGTAAAATTTGTTATCAGTAGCCATGAAAAAGGCGTCATTAGCCCGAAGATTGAAAAAGCTATGAGAAATTTGTTAATACAACGCTCTGCTGCACGCCTTGATTCAACGAATGTAGTAGTGAGGAAAATTTACCTTTCAGTTTATGAATCTCCCTAGACAGTTTATTTAAACACTCTAAAATGTTATTTTGTTTTTTTTGTCAACAAACATAAAACGACTAATAGAGAAGGTGGAACTCCGTCATTTCCACACCATGAGCTTGCTTGTTACTAGTCATGGTATTTTACCTTTCGCATGCTCTTCCTCGAGTGGCTCTAGTGTTCGTTGTCCATCAATTTGTTCCACTGTACCTAAATGCGTTTTCCAGTTGATTTGCATCACCAAGCCAGTCAATTCTTCTTTGTCGGAAACGCGGCATGTCAATTTGGAGCTAAGTAATCTCACTGAACTTAATAGGCATGATCGAACCAATGTTTAACATTGCAATATATTGTTGCTTTTACTCCAACTTTTTCGTGCCTTTGAGCCAGTACGATTTGCTAGCATGATGAACACATTCTTATATGCACTAAATACGAAGAAGGCAGCTTAGAACCCATAAAAATTTGAAGCAAGTGGGCCATCGTCCTCATACGTGCTTTCGCTGCTCACCTATTTGCATAATAATCAAGTGTATACCTTAGCATGTTATGAGCTTTACACTCTACTAATTAAAGGCGAGTAGAAATAATTTTAACGCTTATTAAATTTTCTGCTTTAAATCGTCTATGCCGCGCCTTTGGACACACATTCTTACACTTTTAACGCATAGAACACTGCTGAATGCAAAGATTGAAGTGACACCAGATTGAGTGAGTAAGATTTATGCTCAGCGAGTGAGATTGGTTTACAAGATCAGCGTTACGAAGATTGCAAGTGATGCTTATTTGACTTTGTGAAAATGAGCCACGATCAAGGCACGACGAGACAAGAGGGTAGGACTGCATTCGTGTTTTATGCACCAAACATAACATTGTGACTTAAAACCTTTTTATTGACTTAGAGCAACAGCTACAACAGAACACCGTATCACTTGATGACCTCAGGGAAAGGTGTAAGGAGGAAGAAAGCTGGAGTAATTTACTTAACACCTTTATTATCACTCCAAGTGATAAAACTAAGTTTCTTGTGGATGTGAGGGTAAACACATTATTAGCTATTCATTTTATGTGCCTATATGGTTTTTCAATGAATTTTTCTGAGTTTTTGAGCACTTACTTAGAGCATGCTCAAGAACAAAGACCCTCGACTGATTTACGTACTTAATGGAGACGCAATCGAGAATCCCCATGTAGCCGATCCAAATGCGCAGCTGCGACACCTAATGAATTTGTACTGTAAGTACATGTTTTAAAAGCTATGATAACTTAATGCCTGCCATTCTTAGACAATGTGGCAAACTAGTTTGTCATCCTTTCCAGTGAACGACTAATGACCCTATTTTTTTACGGTGAAAGGCCAAGTGAAGGTAGGCGGTGGATACAAGTGCAGTGCCTGCAATGAGGAGCACAACGACTTGAATGGAATACAACAACATATTCTGGGGCACGGTGATTTCAAACTCTATTTGTGCGTTTTTTGCCTCAAGGGTGCAAACACACTTCAGGAAATGAAACGTCACACAGTAATGCACACTGGTGAGGTTTGCATGCAGCGTTCTTTGTTAAGTTAGTGAAGCAAATAGGGCGAACCTTAAATAATCTTTTCTTAATGGAGGTGAAAATGTGCTTCTGAAAGCACTTGAGAAATTTTCGAAACTACCAGAAAGTCCTGAGGCCTCGGAGTCGCCTCCATCTCCCATTTCCAAAACTCGAGAACGAGGCTCCTCTGAAGAAGACTGCGTCATAAATCATCGCTGCGTTATCTGTGGCTTCACAAGTGATCGCTTGGATATAGTGTTAGCTCACGCGGAATACTTGCACCCAACTTGTAGAGGTGTGATTAACGAGTTGCGTCTCCGACTATTGCGTGCCGCATTCGATCCCAAGGGATATCGCTACGGTGGTGCTAACGAAGGGGAGAGCTCTTTTTCGTACCTTGAGAATTGATGCGAGTGCATTCAGCAGACTTCGAAGGCCACCCTCACCTCGGAGCTGTTCTTTGTTTCCTTTGCAAACTACAATTCTGACCTAGTTTTATTGTAATAATTTGGGAAGTCGCCTTGTTTTTTTAAGGAGATTTTAATTACACTTTTATTCTATAAGGCATTTTTTAAGGCGGCTGTTCTACAGTTGCGGGTGAAAGTTTTTACAACTGTTTCACCGTTTTGATGATTCACGTAAACTTGAACTAGATTTTAGCAGTGTCACTCGAGAGGTGGTAATAAAAGCAGATGTACTGTAAAGAGTAAAACAATAAACGGTTTGGGAAAACGACGTCTTCCCTTGTCGTAGATTGGACACCTCATGGGTGTTTCCAATGGGGTCGAAGGTCTACTGAAGGCTTAAAAGTTAAATAATCTTCACTGATTAAATGACAAAGTTGGGCTCTAGCTTTGACTTTGGATTAGTTAAGGATCCAGAACAATGTAGTTTTGACAACAAATAGGATCTGTGGACGCCAATGAAGTTGCGTACACCGTTGATGAGGTGATAAAGCAAAAAGGCAGTTGCATCCCCAAATGAATTGGTGCATTAGGACGGTCAGACCGAGCTAAAGTGCGAATAAGCCATGGACACAAAGTCACTACTGCCTTCAGCTCATTCGCATCATCAAGCGGCAATCGCCAGCCCAAAGGCATCTGTACAACTTGCCGTTTACATCTACCAGTGCAATTTGGTATGTGATTATGTTAAGTAGTGCTTTATTCCGCTGAACTCTCGGTTATTAGTTGACGGTACGGAGAAGTAGATCATCACTACATGCAACAATGTGAGTACGACACGAAAATGGCCCCTTTGCAGTTAGGTTGCATCAACTGGTTGTGAGAGAATGGCGATGCTCAGGCATTGGCGGGGGGCGCCGCCGTGGACAACGATGGCGATGCTGTCCACACTCCGCATGTCGTGAAGAGGTGAAGGTGAAATGAGGTCGACGTTGACGCATTGAAAATATCAAAATGCATAAAAAATGGACTGAGAGGCCTGATATGCAGCAGAGGTGGGTGGGAAGAGGAAGGGAGGAAGAGAGATGAATACAGTGGCGATCGGTTTATTTTGGAGGGCATAGCTTCGCTCAATGCGGTTTGGACGGATAACAATGAAAAACAACGCTCCCATTATTCAGGCTAACACTCAGGTTCATCTTATGGTTATTCTGCTTTGATTTGACAACTCTTAGCTGGTTAGAGCCTTTCCAATGACATCGCGATTGCCTCTGAAAACTGTTCGTATGAATGACATTTGAATTGTAGCGCTCGTCTGCCATTGGCTATCAACGGTGGTGGTGAAATTTTCTTCACGTGGAGTAAAACTAAAAGCTGTCTGCATAGATCAGTGGGAGAGCGCGATGCTTGAACATGTCACGAACAGTTGCTACACCCAAATCAGTTAATCATGGAAACGTGACGTGGCGCTTCAATCTCATCAAGTCTTAAGGGACTCGCCAGTTTGAATGATGAGAAATGCTATTACTTCAGAGTGAATGGTACCAGAGAGACACTCAAGGTGGAAAAGGTTTCCTTGGCACGTTAAGAACAACTTCTTCACGTGGTAATCATTTACAAGAAGTACTCCTTCCATATTGGGTGTCAATGGAATTAAATTGAGCATCAGTAACGATGGCCTATTTCATGACTTGTAGGCACTGACCACTGCCACTTTAATGTGACCTCCTTGTGGGTGCGCGTAAGGTGCTGAAATGGCACTTAATTGGTGGGCAAAACACGCAGAAGGACTTGCCGCCGGCGCCTGAGACAAGGCACACCTTGAGATTGAGTAGCTATTGTAATGGGGGATGTTGAAGCTGCCCCCATTCCCATGAAAGTGAAGTGTTGCTGCCCAGTAACGTCAGGACACGAAGTGCTAACGCAACCAGAAGTCAAAATTGGGTCGACTTCAGAAGTAACGCATTTAAATTATCTACAATTACGATTCTTCAATTTCCTCACAACACTCTTTGTAATGCTTTAAAGCTATGAGAACCGCGCCACAACCTACACATCGTATTTAGAGGGGAGACGACGTAATGATTTTGGACTCTCCAAGACCATTTTATTAATGGACTGCCGTAGAGCGGCTACTGCTCAATATAAATGCGACTGTCGTCTTGTTGCGGGCCTTACTTTGCACTTCAAATCGTCAGCTTTTATTGTAATCACGGAATAAATGCTTTGTGACCATTGCGTTGCCTAGCTAAGCCACAATTGTAATAAAAAAAAGCGTAGGCAGCGAAGGGTGGACACATATCATAATTTGTAAGTTAGAAGGCTATTTTCCTTTTGCGAAACCTGTTATGTCTTCCTGCTGTACGCGGCCTCGGAGTCGAAAGGTCAAGGTGGGCTCAGGCATCCTCATGGTGCTTGAATCGGAAGAACTGAAATCGCCCGTACCGTGACGGCTACACAAAGGCGGATGACCTGCTTCACTTTGACCATATACAACCGCCTCCTCGCCTGCTGCCTCGAGTCGGAGTACTTTAAATGTTGTCAACGCAATCACAACTTCTTCCATGTGACGGTTGAGAGAAGGAGTGTGTAGCATTAGTCTGCTCCAAACGACAAGTCTGTGATTTGCTGCTTCAGTGAGTGGAAGCAGTGTCATCGTTGTCACCGCTGAAAACTGAGTCAAATGGGATGATTGGTGTGGAAATTGACTAATCAGCGAGCCTCATCACTCCACAACCTTTGAAGCTGTTTCGGTAAAACGTCAGATAAGCTTAATAAACTGCCACCGCCGACCTCTTTAACTATTGGCGGGTAATGCAGTTGAACCTTTCTTTTTTTAATGCACCAATTTTAGCAAACCTATATTTTTTTAAGCAGACATGATGCTTACAAAACGCAAAGAGTTTGGCAGTGCAAATTTGGATGAAAGAGATGAACGCTCTACAAGTGAGATCGACTTATGAGATCGGCGTTACGAAGGTTGCGGATGAGGTTCGATCACCAAATTTCAAAGATAATGAGTGAAGAACGAGGCACGGACAGCTCGAGCAGCTCACAGGGTAGGACAGTAAATTCTCTAGCAGCTTTCAATCAAAAGATGCATAGCCTAAAGTACATTTGCAATTTTAAAGATAATGAGGAATCGACGGAGTCAAGTTTGACCTCGGGTATTTCCTCTTCAAGTTCGGAGATGGAAGTAGTCGAAGAAGTAAGTCTCACTGAGGCGGCCGTTGTCAGTCCAAATGACGAGGTCTCGAACCTCAAGCAGGTGGAGGTAAATACACAGCTTGTTGTTATCCATTGTCTGCCTTGAGGTGATTTGTCAGAGCATTTTCGTCTAAGTTGCCGAGTGCTTGCTCTAGGAGATGCTGAAGAACAATGATCCTCGATTGAAATACGTCCTCAATGGAGATGCCATCGAAAATCCCTTTGTAGTCCCTCGAGAAGAGCAGTTGGAGTACCTCAAGAATTTTTTATGTACGGGCCGATGTAAATTTGAAATATCTACTAAAAGAAATTACATTGTATTAGAGACTTTCGCTATTTAGGAAACATTTTTCTTACTTTTAAAGAAAACTTTTTTAAATTATTTTATTGTTTTATTTGTTGTGCTACTTTTGACATAATAGGTGAACAGGATGAGGAGGGTTTATATAAATGCGCTGTTTGCGAGGCGAAGCATCGCGATTTGGAAATAATACAGCAACACCTTCTCTTGCACAGCAACTCCAAGCTCTACTTGTGCGTGCTCTGTCTCGAGGGTTTCAACACACTGACAGCAATGCAATCTCACACATTGATCCACGTTGGTAAGATTTTGCCCTAACAAATGCACTTCCTACTTTCAGTAACAAGAATGAAGCACACTTTTTTGCCTTGTTGTTTGGTAAAGATGAAAGTGTGCCACGGGCACAGAGTCTCGAACATGCGGATAAGACGAATGTTGTTGGAGCCATGGAGCCTCTTCCACCTCCACCTCCTCCTCCTCCTCCACCTCCTCCACCTCGCTCACCCAAAAAGTCGGAAAGCAAACCCGCTGAAGAATGTCGTCCTGTGCGATACCGCTGTCCCATTTGCGGATTAACCTTAGATCGCCTGGATTTTTTGCTAGCCCACACGGAATATGAGCATCCAACTGAACGAAAGGTCATCAATCGAATGCGCCGTCAACTCTTGTGTGCTGCAATTGATCCCATGGGATATCGCCGCGGCAAAGCGAGAGACGGCGACAGCTCTTCATCTTCCTCCGACAGCTAATGTCTTTGTAATCAGCGGATTTAAAAGACAAATTCTGCTGGCAGCTGCCGTTTGTATAATACGAAGTTGTTGTGTATCTTTTGTGCGCTGGAATTCCATGCGCAGTTTTCCGCGAGTTGTAGCATGCGAACTTGCTAATTGAGAAGCTTTATTTTAACATTTATTACGATTTTTCTGTCCAACATGTTGTGCTAGTACACCTTCCGTTAGGGCTGTTGGGCAGTAGTGGTTAGAAATTGTGCCGGATTTTCGGGCTAGATGTGTCTACTCAACAGCTCGAGGCCAAGTTAAGGGGGGAATGAAATTGTCAGTGGTTAAAGAAGCGATGTCCAGCAGAGGGACCACTTAACATTTGCCCAAATTGATGTCTTGTTCCCATTTCCACGAGGAGGGCAAATTGATGGCGAGTTGAGATACGAAGCGTCGAATTGCCCTCAAGTCCACCAGCATGACTACCTGTTAACTCGTTGAGTCAACAGAGCAAGAGCTTAGAGGAAGAGGAACAACGAAAGAAATCATGCATTGACAACTAACGTTTGGTTAAAGATTTGATGTGAATCCTTAGTGTTTAAGCTATGACAAAAGGTTTATTTGACACTCAATCAGATTGATTGTTTGCCTTCATTTGCAAACCATGAAACTGGAGAAGAGGAATGTTAGTGGAGTTGAGACTCACGTAAGTCATGAGACTTGTGAAGACTTTCGAGTGAAATCATATTATCGAAGCTACTCCCTCAAATGCATCTCAATGTTTGTCCATGAGCAAGATTCTATCAACGGGCATGAAAAAGTAGGCTTGGCAGAGATCAGACAAGCGATAATCCTCCTCACCGTCTTACTGCTAACTCATGCTTGGGTGTGCCAGCCACGATTGTGAAAATTGAGCCGAATGAAAGACGTTAGCCGGTGAAGAGGAAGTCCCAATTTGTAGGCAACATTAAAATTGCCTGAGGTAAGTATTAACATCGCCATTTTGCTTTGCCACACCTTTAATACTCTCACGGACAAGTAAAATCGGAACCGGTCAAGACGTGTCAATCAGAGCGATCAAAACATTGCAGAGGATGAATCATCTGAACCAATACACTCAACTGTCAAACATTCACTGCGGCTTGCATCACGGTGGTGGTCAGCACAATGCGCTTAAGTTAGGCAATTCCAAGCCACAAGTCCAAAAAAACTTGAAATTGCAAGCGGTCAGATGAGGTGATGTCGAGATAATTTCAACAAGCATAACGAGGCGACACATCCCGTGCTAGGTGAGGCCTTCTTTTGCCTCAGATCAAACCATAGCCAATCAGGCGGCCAACGCCGAGGCGCTGGACTTGCTCGATGGGAAATTACATTCCACACCTTTCGTACTACCGTCACCTTCAACTGGCAGAGGAGCAAAACACATTCCGAGAATAAAAAATGGGACTATGAACACTTGTTTGTCACTTGACTTCCACTTTTTAAAACACACCTGCCAATTTTAGGTACAGTGTAGCCACTTCTTGCCTCTAGACATCAGTGCGGATCTCATTCGTGCAGATAACAACGTCGTGTGATGACAAAATCAGTGATGTGACTTTCTCACAGCTGCCCTTTAGACGGACATGTTAAAGGTCGCAATCAAGCGTAGCACTTTGGTATGCGTCTCTCTGAGCAAAAAGACTCAGACCCGAAGTGTACAACAATTACCAAAGGCATCAGTCGTCTCCGATTGGTCAAGACTTTGACATGAGGGCCAACTTTGCCTCGGAGTTTCTACTTTTTGGATCTTTGTAAAGGCGCATGTAGAACCGCATGGAGAGACATTCAAGCAGTCTGATCATGAAGTTCCAATGAATATGGGTTGCAAAGTTGTTAACTTTGTGATCATTTAGCTCGCTGAGGGCATTGCTTAAAGCTAAAACAGACCATCGCGCCTTAATTTCGGCATGGCGCCCTAATTTGGAACGATTGGTTGCCAAGGTAACAAATCCATTCTACGCCACTTACATTTGACGAACCGCACGGAACCCTCCTGCATTAAAGCAAGTTGACGTGCATGTTGAGGTTTGCAGCACTGCAACAGTGCTAAGGATACGAGCAAGTGGATCAGTGAAGAGGAGAGCCAACGGCACTCTTACGTTACTACATTGCCTGCAATTCTGTGCTAACCTTCAAATACCACAGCGCAGATCGTGTTTTACGTGTGAACTGAGTAGAATATTTGCAAACCATTTAATTTGTGACTAAATTTTGTCATCATTTGATTTTCTACACGCTTAGGCATGGTTTGACAACTTCAAATGCTATTTTAAAAAAACTGTTGAGTGGCTGATTCTGGGACTCGCATAGCGATTTAAAGTGCTAGCAGTCATGCCGGTGTAGGGGCAACTAAATGCTCAACATACCGGCCCCTGTTAGCCCACAGTTTCCCACATGTCAGCTTAACCTTTCGCTGACCTGAGGTAAGCAGCTGCGACACGTTCAGAGCGCATTACTTGCGATGGCAAGGCGATTAATGAATTGGCTATGCAGATCGTTCACCCACAGCATGCCCGACGTGGGGTTCCAAAATCCGTGTTAAGTGGATACGACCAACGAGTTGGCAAAACCTAACATACTCGTGGTGCCCAAGCCACCTCGCCTTACGCACCCTTACACGGACCTGTGCAATCTGATCTGCGATGTCGCTCGGCCTCGGCTGGAGAAGCTTCCCTTTTTACGCTAAGCTTGCGTACCAAATGGGTTGTAGAGAGGTGTACATTGAGACTTCGAGATTCATGCGCAAACCGACTTTATCAACTTGGGAGGACGGCTTTTGTCAGTGCCTAACAAATGGGTGGGAGACGACACCATCGCAAATTATGCCCACCAATGCGCATTTCCTCATAACATCTCCTTTCACGGTAGAGGTTACGATGCAAGTTGATTGTATAAAAATTTGCCCAATACATTTCCATTCGAATTTGAGAGAATACACTGTCTGGCTGCTAGTAAACAAAGTGATTGTCTATGCTAGCCATGTGAAACTGCATGTAATTTTTCATTCAGCCTACCATCGTCCACTGCTACATAAAAAAGAGGTTGTCATGAAGTGGCCGGTGAGCCAAGGGACGGGTGATGGGGTTGCGGCTCCTGCGAAGCACATACAACTGGAAGAAATGTAACAGAGAACGAAGGTAATTTAAAGCAATACCTGAGAGGCACCTGTTGTTGATGGAGTGTGTTGGTGTGACAACAACACCTTCCAACTTCGTGTAAATTGTGCAGACAAGTGCGAGCATTACGAAGGATGGTATTGTGAGGTGGATGAAATTTGCATGCTTTTGTGCACGCATACTAAAAGGGGGCTCCGCTAACTGCGCTGATTCAAAATTTCTGTCTAACAGCCCTCTACAATGCTGCCCTCCACACATCCCATGGTTACGTATGACGCTTTTCAAACAAGACCCTACCAGTGACATCGGTTGTTGCTGTCTCGGTGATGGGGCCTAAAGCAAGGTGCGAGAGGCCTTAAGGTGAACAGCTTAAATCCGTAGCTCGGGTTCAGAAACGGCTTGGCTTTGGCCCAAAGTGCAGCCTATCGCGTTGATAATCCACTGACGGGATTATCGAAGGCGTGACAAAACTGCGGCTCCGTAAGTTGACGACCACCACCGACAGAACTTTAAATAGACTTCGGTGAAGAAGTTGAAGCATTGATAAGGGGAAGGTAGGTCGATTTGGACGTCTTGTAGCTTTCACAATGCTCATTTGGGATGACAAAGTAATCCTCGATGGGAGGAGGGTAATGGCTTGCTTTACATTTCCCGTGCGTGATGTTATGTCTTCTTCTCCCTAGATGAGCTACAGCGGTATCAACGTAAGCCAAAAGACGAAATCATGAATCACAAAGGAAATGCAGATGATCAATCAAAGCTCAGAAGTCCGCCCGAAGCACGAATAGGCAGTCATTCCATTCTATCTCAGCATTTCAAAGAAGCGAACAAGGATGTTAAGAAATTGGACAAGAAGTGGGGGTGGAGCGGTCTGTGTGAACGCATTGTCTTCGATGCTCACTGTGTTGATCAGCAGTTGAAGGTTATTCAGCAAAATGTTTCGACATCAAGTCATGCCTTTACTATTGACCGAATCTTATCCACAGACGCGCAACAAAGTTCCACTGTCAACGATATACCACAAAACAAGCCATTGACTGCTCCTCTTATATCCCAAAGAGAAACATTGGGGGTTGATAAGACAAGGAAATCGATCATTGTTTGCAAACGAGAACCAAGCAATGCTCGAGAATTAGTTCAGGTATGTAGAAATGCTTCATTTTGCATGCATCATGAGAACATAATAAACAAGTCGTGCGAATTTGTCCAGGAGATGATCGAGCGCAGAGATGAAAGGCTAAGGTACGTCAATGATGGAAATGCCATCGTTAACCCATTTGCGGTAAGCAGGAAGGAGCAGTTAAGCGTCCTCCGGAAGTCCCTCTGTAAGTCTCTCCCATATAAAGCATTATCATTTTACCACTCATGTCCTCGTTTGTGCTGGTAGGTAGAGAAAAGGCAGGAGGCGGTTACGAGTGCATTGTGTGCGGCCAGTCCAGAATTCGCCTGCGAGACATGGACAAACACGTTTTTTGTCATAGCGACAGCAAATCCTACCTCTGTGTGAGATGTTTAATGGGTTTTAACGATGTATTCGATATGAAGCGACACACACGCACACATACTAGTGGGTCTTTAACTGTTTTACTCCCTTCTTTTGCAATTTCTCTTCAATGCAAATCCCTTCCTTGCCATTTTTTTGTATGCTGCATCACGGTGGTACAACAGATGTGCGTCCATACGCTTGCGAGCACTGCCCAAGTCGGTTCACACAACGCTCCCTGTTGGAGGGTCATCAAAGCAGCGTACACCAATTGGTGTTGGGGTATGGACCGAGGCAACGTCGCGAGGAGCTCCGTATCTGTGAGACCTGTGGATTTGTCAATAAAAGCTACGTAGCACTGCTGGAACACACGGTGTCTCAGCACCCCACCAATGTGGATACCATTTCTATGCTAAGAATGCGAACTAGCTCCCACCGATCACGAAAGGAGAAGGGGGAAAAGGACTTGAGTTTAAATGCAAAGTAAATACACCATTGCCATTTTTCATCCTCTTCTCTCCTTTTTCTCCCCATTTTCTTAGTGCGTTAGGTGGAGCCATTGATCGTCTTGACATGTTGACTTTCATCAACGTTCGGGGTCAAAGCACGCGACTCATCACACGCAACTCTTTCTAACTGACGATGCGAATTGTTGCGTGGCGATGAGTGCTGCTTACCGCAATGATTGCTGTGTTTGAACGGATCCATCATCAACACTTAGGATGCCAAGTAAGGCTGCCCAAATCAGGTCGACAATGTGGATTTCATAGGCAGGAACTGCTTCTATTTCACACCTCGAGGTGGGAGAATGTGACAAATTTTTCTGGTTTAGCATATTAAAGGTAACCCAGAACGCGGAGAATTCGATGGGTGCAAGTAGCGCAGTTGTCTTTTAATCTTCAACAGCGAATTGAAGGGTCGCAATTGTGTGAGTTTTGTGGACTCATCTGCGATCACTGCGTGGATTAGCTAAGGTCACAGAATTCTTTCGTCCCACCGACCAGTGACATTCATCGACTGCGCAAGGGCGATTTGCTATTTCAACTGGAATGGCGTCCCACTTGCTCTTCTTTTTGCGGAAGTGTTAAAGTCTTCTACTTTTATTTTAACTTACTTGACAAAATTTCTCAAATATTCTCATTCTAAGGAGGTGAGGTGCCGTCTCTGCTAGTACCTCTGTTAAACACCGAATATTTTTGTAAATAATTTTATTAACTGTATCCAATGCCTAGTGCCTGAGGGAGGTGCGCCATTATTGAGTAGGAGAATGAACTCTCTGATCCCTGGCTTCATAATTTGTTTCCTTTACATTTGGCAAGCAGAAGAAGATCGGTGCTCATATTTTAAGTTGTAAGTGTGCAAGTCAACATAACTGCGTCACCCTATCAGCATGCCCATCAGTAGCGTAAGCTTTATGGAGTCTAAAGAACTTAGAAATTGTTCTTAATGCAATTTTACGATACGGCTCATAAAATCTAAAAAAAATGCGAAAATGTAGGGTAAAATAGGCCATACTATGTCGAGATTAAGATAAATTTATTGGACCGAAACGGATTCCGAGGGCGTCTGCAAATTTGGACTGAGCATGCCCGCTCCAGCGCCCCTTACTAGCATTTTGAGTAAATCGGCAGACTTGCTTTCACAGGAGCTGTATCATCCATTTGCCGGTGGTAGACTTGATAGTCCGTCAAACACCTCGCCATTGCATGTCCAGGAAATGCTTTCCGCAAAACAATGTGTCAATTATGTTTGTTATTTTATGGCCACTGGTGCTGCAACAGAGGTCCAGAACACTTCGATTAAAGTCGATTTTGGGAGAGCACGTCCATTGTGCACAGGTGACAGAAGATAAGCTAAGCGGATCGTAAATGGAGTGGTGAGGTATGCATGATTATCGCGAATGTCGGAGCACAGAATCCTGGGATCTCTGTGACCACCTTCACTGCCACTAAACAAGGCTTCATTTGTAGTCACAGTGAGTGGATTTGTATTGTCCAACACATTCAGAGCGACGGATGAGCCGCTAATACCTGCGTTGATTGACAAGTGTTTGTCGCCTTGCCAACTGCTGCTTTTATGGTTGCATTTAATCAGTAACTGTTATCACTCACGTTTTTCGCATCCGCAATAGTCCATAAAGAGATAAAATGGAGGCGAAAAATGTGCCCCTCGGCCAACATTTATTACCGAAATGCACACCGCCCATCTCTCAGGTCTTAGAGCCCTTCGAAATGCGATGTTCGATTCAACCGACTCTTAAACTGTGCAAAGAATGTAAAATTCACCGTCAACATCCAACAGTCTCACCTTTGGGTACGCCGTTACACGAAGTCTGACTTTTATGACTACTGATTTGATGGCAAGGAAGGTCGCTTTGTTTTTACACTTTCATGCAATCAGCGGGACATTTCACACGGTACTTCGGTAATCGAATCTAAAACTCAGCTATTGCAACTGAAGCACTTACAATTGGCCGTAACACTCGACTCCAACAACCGCTACGCCTATTGGAGGTGCCTCTACTTGTACAACTAATGCCGCTGTGCTCGCTTTTTAAGTCCGACCATCGTTGCTTGCACGTTTGCCCTAAGGGGAAAAGCGTTCCTCTTGATTCAAAGGGCAATAGTTTTCGCTTTCACTCCAACTAGACTAATCACTTGCAGTAAATAGAAATTTCACTGTTACTGCGTCACATTGTTCGTACAGATACATGCATACTAACTTGCTGGATCGGATCGCAGTTTGCTACAATGGGGAGGCGCTGGGCGAGCGATTTCCAACCAGATAAGCAAGTGGTGGAGTCACCTGGGTCCGGGGCCTCGGAGAGTGATTCAGGTGGGTCAACGCATGCGTCTAGCCTCCGCTTGGTAGCCAACCCATGATGAACCCACTCAGTCATCAATGTTCGGCTCAGGCGGTCGTAGCTGCCTGAGACTGGGAGATAACCACAAGTGATGATTTTCTTGTAGCTTGGAGTAGATTGCAGGCCTTTCTACTTGCTGCCTTCTGTTGTAGTCCGAACGAATTGAAAGGGGTTTCTCACTTCTCACCTTTTCCAGTAAAATTAAATTTAAATGAGTCAAAATTGGCTACTTCCTGCCATGCGGAAAATGAATGTTATGCGTTGGCGTAGCCAAACATAAGGCCTTTGTGTATATTTAGTTGTTGTGAAGTCATATTTGGCGTTTGGTGGTCGACTGCTACAAATCTCATGTGATGCAATAATAAAGATATCCTCATGACACAAAATGAGTTACATTGATGCATATCAACTACCATTTTATTGTATTTGACTGTGGTTTTCTCTATCAACGTCTACTTAAAAGGGGATGCAGGAACCCTCAAGCACATAAGTAAGTGAAAGAAACGCATCTACTGGCAGCTCATAAGTAGACGGACAACATTAGACGCGAAAGGCTGATCCACAGATTGCAACTGCATACTTTGCCGCCGGTTCCACTGCCACTTCCGTGTTTTCGCTCATAAATAGTGACTTTGGGGGTGGATTGCCAAAACTCTATTAAGAAGACACAGCACCTTTAAAAGGAACAAAAGCATTGTCCCAAAATTATGCAATCGCCCATTAGATGGAAGGGTTGGAGTAATCTTTACACGAGCATGTGCCTTAACACTTTCACCGGTGGTATTTTGATCATTGAGATCGAATATTTGAGCCAAGTACAAAAATTGAACGAATCAACCTGTCAAAGTAAAAAATGCATCAAAGTGGTGATAACTAAAGATCAGCCCTTCAGGTATCACCAGAAAAATGTAACGGTTCCGAGTAAAATGCCTCTTCACAAGTACCAAATAATGGAAAAAAACCAAATCTACCGTCAGAAGCGCACGCGCATGTATGCATAAGTAAGACTGCAGAAGTGTTAGTTCCCTTTCTTGAGTAGGCAATGACCATAGCATACCATACATTTTTTTGTGGCTTGATATGGACACCAAGTGATGAGGTGATGGATGGGGCCATGGAATATGCTTGCGCGCTTGATACGAGGTAGATGAATGGGACAGATGAACGCAAGTGAACGGTGAGGCTGGTTGAGGCCCCACATACTACCACCCACTTTCACAAGCCTGGAGGCAGAGACGCAAGCCAATCCGCATGTACTTCCCGTTGATTATCTTGTCTTTGCAAACGGCTACTAGGTGAGATGTTAGTAAACGGAAATTAAGGAAAGGTAACTCGCAACTAGTCCATTTGCAATGATTAATTTACGCGTGAACATCTGGGAGTGGACGATGGGGACCAGTTGGATTGTTTCTTCACGCCAATAATAAGTGAGTCACTGCGCCCTCGAACGCCAATGCCAAACATGTCCTACCAGGTTTGCATGAGTGCGCCATAAAAGATTAGCAGATGCATCTTAGTAGAGTTGAGAAATAGGATTGGGACGCAAGCGAAACTGAGTGCGTGTCTTCCAGCAAGAACAAAGGGATCAAACCTGAGCTTGGCCCCAGAGGCCAGCGCATGCGTACAAGAGCCAGACAAATCTCAAAGCAACCGCCGGACATTAGGTGGTCACATAAACAAAGCATTACACCTCCAACTATCCACGACGTGTTCAAATGCGCATTTAATGAGCATCGTAAACCTGTAGTCCGCCTTCTAGTCACCCGTTTTGGTAAATGATAGGGTTCAGGACACCAGTCGGCACAGTTTGCTTCGTTTGGCTAGCTTAGCTAGTTCGCGCAAGCAAGAACAAGACAAAGACACCAAAGCAACGTTCCATCGTACAGGTGGTCACATAGTTATGATGGCACGAAATTCACATTCTACTATTTGTTTGACACTTTAATGGCGTGGATTCCGTTCACTACACAGTAATGCGTAAGTAAAAGCGTAGGTAGGGGACGTCGCAGCCAAATTAACTTAGTTAAATGTTGGCTCATCAGGCGGGTTTTGATAGGCCTCAGATTTGTTTACAAAATACGTGGAAGTTAACAATCTCGACCTGCCTGACCGCTTCAGAAAACACAAAAAAGAGGATTTATATCAAAATTTTAGCAGAATTGGACTTCGTGTCGAGTTGCACAGCACTCTTAACGGTGGTGCTCTTGTTCTACTCCTTCCCAGAGTTCACAAAACTTTGCCCTATCTTCCTGACCAATTTTCCTTACTGCACGCCCACCTCGGCCATCGGAATAGGTTTTAATTGTCTACCATTCAATCATACAGCAATCACCTCTGAACGCCAACTCTAATCTAGGCCCACTCATGGTCACACAGTCCCCAGTTCTTAGCATACAACACGAACTCGTAATAAATTAGTCCACCAAGACTGTTAGTTCTAAAGGCTTCGGAGAGCGTTAAGCCTTGCCCAACGAACGTTAAGCAGAAGAAGTAAGCACTCAATCAGAAACTTCTAGGGAAGCCGTGCTTTGATGGCTAAGCAACTAGCCTCTGTCATCCACTTCGCATCCATCGTGCATTTGTGCGCTCATTCGGCCGAAAGCAGAATCA